GGAGAAAGGGGTGGGGTGCGCGTTGTGATAGGTGGTAGTGGTATCGGGCGGCCGGTGATTGATGGAAATTGGAAGTTTGATTGGCAGGTTTTTGACGTGGTTGTTGTGGATTTGAAACTGGCTGCCCGGCGGAGACAGGAAATGACGGGCCGAGTGTAGCAGCGGGTCCGCGAGGGTACCGTTAAACGTATCGCAGGGTGGGAGATAAGGTTCTCCCTTTTTTCCCCTTGTTTTATTCCCTTTGGATCGAAGTTTCGGTGTTCGGTATCGGCGCAAAAACCGACTTCATTACTTCGTTATCAAAGGATTGAAAATCCGTGGCCGAAGCTTACATCAAAAGGCCACCCTAACGATGGCACGGAATGCAAAATTAATTGCAAATTCCTCCTTTCCCCGAATGAATCTTCTCATCAAAGGAGGCATTAGAGGAAATTCTGTAGAGAAATCTCTGTACGTACGTAGCTGACCGTGCTTTTCCCCAAGTTTCTGGAAATTTTCGCGATCTTGTTATGTACCTAGCGGACAATATTTTAGGATTAAACTAATCCTATCGGCAGGTTGATGGTGATAGTCCAGAGTGACAGCAGAAAGCCGCCCGAAATGTCCCGTGGGAACACCGTTTCCGTGGAAGCAGGAGGAGGGAAGCGGAATCTTCCCGTCACCGAGTCAAGCCGATTAACCGAAATCTTGTTACAACCGCGCGACAGCAAGTCTGCGGGGTGCCGTTTCGTGGCCACCATAAATGGAGGAAGAACAAAATCTTCTCTCACAAGAATCTTCCTTCCTCCGTCTATTTTTTCCTCTCTACGCCTCTCAACTTTTAGACATTTGGGGCGCGAAACGTTAATTCCAACCACCCCGATACGACGACGTCGTTCTCAGGGGGAGGAATTTTTTTTCCAATTACCAACGTCACAGTTATTATCCCTCGACCGAGGCGCCCCCGTTTCCCTATCGAGGAACGAGCGGAACGAGGATCCCTCCCTCCGCCTCCCCTTTCCCTCCCCGAGCGAAGGAGGAGTTAGCGCTCTCTCTCTCTCTCTCTCTCCTCGTCTCGTCTCGTCTCTGTACGGTTTCCAAAGCCGTTTGCACATTAGCGGGGGAATAAACGACACCGAAATATAGCGCGGATGCGCGATCGCCATAATAGGAGCGGCGAGTAGTCTATTAAGCGTCCTCAAAACCAGTTAGTGAGTCGGCAATCCAGTTTAGGTACAAAATGGCTGTCGTTTAGCGAGGATTAATGGTCTCGGGGAGTGCCCCGGGGCAGCATAATGGGGCAGATGCGTCCTGGACGAGGGGGAAACGACCCCCCTCCACCTCTGCCTCGCCCCCTCTCTGTCGCACAACCGTATCAGCGACACAACCACCCCGCTTCCTCCCTCCCCTACTCCACTCCCCTCCCTGCTAACCTCATTATATACACCTATCTGGCTGCGGGGTCCATTATGCCCTTTTTGCGCTTTCCTCGCGTCACACAGGAATAAATACACGCGTTTCCTCCACGGTTCGTGTATGGTCGCACGCCTGTGCGTGTGTAAACGTAAAAATACGGTTCGCAAGAAGGGTACACAAGGGTATAGTGTATGTGTGTGTGTGTGTGTGTGGGGCAGGGACGAGGGGAGTCGGATCTCATATTTGGGCCTCGAAGCGCCGTTTAGTTTGGCGTTTCATGGTCGAGCGGCTCCCCTAGCTGCGGCTGCACTCTCTCGCTCACCGATCACGCTCGTTTCGACGCTGTCCTGGGAGCAAAGCGGTCGTTTTGAAATCGACTCTCTACCCCCCCCCTCTCTTTCCTCCCGCTTTTCTCGAAGCGTTGACAGGGATTTCAGAGAAGAAATAGAGCTCTCGAGGATGATTCGTTTTTCGAATTTTCGATCGATCGAAAACATTTTTGGGACGCGAAATCGGTTTCGAGCGTAAACTTTCGCTATAAAATTCATCGAGGAAGAATAATCCTCTGTCACAGGGAGGATTTTCTCAGGAGTTTTCGAGAATTTTCGAGAAGTTTTAATGTAATAATTTTCACTTTGAATACAAGGAGATTCATTCTTCACGAGGAGAAAGATGATTTTCTTGAATGGATTTCGAATAATTTTTTTTTTTTTTTTTTCGAAAGAACATTGCTTTTGGACTTTTGACAATTTTTTTTTTACGCGAATTTTCAATAGAAATGGCCGACACCGGCGGTCCTTTAATCCAGCAGTCTCCCAAAATTCGCGCCACGCCTTCAGTTTAACGAGATAATGCCAGCCGTTTAAAAGGTACAATGGAATCTTAAATACCTGGCTCTTTGTCGAGTTAGGCACCAGCAACAACCGGACTTTGCGCAGGTGACTAACTTACTCCGCCTCGTCCTCTTCTTCGATTCTCCTTCCCCTGATTCGCGTATATACGTTTGCGAGAAGGGCTTTGCAATTCTCGGGAAACGTGACGTGTTTTCCAATAATTGTTAAGTAAATTCAAAAATGTTTGGTATTCTATCTAATACAAATTAATGGAAATTTTTCGTTTATGATGATATATATATTATGCGAAAATTTGTAACGTATTTTAATTATATTATTTATATATATATCTATTTATCATTTGTTTTTCAAGAATATATTAAAATATTTTAAGCGTTTTCTTTAGGAAGTTTTATGCGTTTTCTAAGAGGATTTAGAATTTATTTTTCTTAAAGGTATATTTATTTTGAAATGTTAGATGAGACAAGTCAGTATAAAAAAAAAAAAAATGAAAATTAAATTTTATGATTCATTAGTTAATAGAATTAATCGAATTAGAAATACACGTTTAAATATAGTCATGATATATATTCGATAAAAGTTCGATAAGTTATTGTTGCTATATTATTATTCATGAAATTTATTAGCATAGTAAAAAAAAAGAAATTATATCTACGTATATGAAGTAAAAATATCTATATGTAAATTACATATGAATTAAAGATTGATACAATGTAGCGAATTTTTAATTTGACTGGTTGATTTATTAAACACATCAATAATGAATTTATTAATGAATAATTGAATATAATGAATTTTATCGATACGACTGAAATAACCATATAATAATTCGTGATATTTTCATCTTGATTAATTTAAAAATATCGCAGAATTCTATTATGCACAATTTACACA